ATTTTTTTTAAATCAATGGAACAATACAATTCCGATACTTTTCAACTAACCATTTAAATTTTCGTCATAGAAGTGAAGCATCATTGCGTCGTCTTTAACAGCGCAGTAAATATTGAAATTCCAATGGTCTTGAAATTGACGTTCCCGAACTGAATGCGGATTTGTATCGCTCCAGTAGTTAGAATTCCGCTTGTTGAATATCCCATTTTTGGTAAATTTCGCTTCGTCGCTTCATATAATATTCCTCAAAAATCCGTCGCTTTGTTGATTTTTCATAATGAAGAACTCCACAAAGTTAATTCTTACCTCATAATCGGATAGCTTTAGGCCATGGACTAAAGGATGAGAATACGGATGCCATTTATGTTTTGCAAGGACATTTTGCAAGGACATTTCATTCAATCCCAAATGTCGTGCCGCATCTTCCAAATATGTGTTTGGAAAAGCAGTGAAGTACCCAAACACTGTAATCGCATCATATTTCATATTTTGTCAACCACCGTTTTAGTTTTGATTATTTTCCTTTCGAATGATCCAAAGTTCGTAAAATTGAAGATTATTCTTCTAATGATATTGTTACATTTCAATTTAGCACTAGATCAAAACTGCTCCTATGTGACGTTTCAAAACACTACCTTACCTTTTAAGATCTTTATTCAGAGGATGATAACAATGTAATTCAGTAACAAGTTGATTTTATTCATTTAACATCATAGTAATGGGAATCTTCCGTTCCATAGAAAACCATAGCTGAAATGTACAAGAATATATGTATGCTCCCTGACTAACTGCTTTGATCAGTACTTACCATTCACTTCGCAATCGACGTTGGAGATCCGAAATTCCTCTCTAGGTTGAAATAGTTGTTATTGCTTGTTTCTCAGTTTACTCCCTATCATTTTTCAGCCGTTGTCTGCCTTATTCTCTATACCTTTCCAAGAATATTTTTGCATAGATTGTTATTCATCACTTCCAGAAGGATTACTACATATTAGAGCCATATCGCCTGAAAAACAATATTAGTTAGCTCTGGATTTCTGAATACTGTTTGACATTTTCGGTAAATATTCTGCTTAATATGAATGTTCAAATATTCGTACTGAATGGGAAAGATGTGGCGACTTACCTTAGATGTTTCTATTCCATCGCATGAATAAGGATCGGTAAATAGTTCAAAATAGGTTGGAGTCAATATTTTTGTAAACATTCAATAACAAGGTTAAGAGACAGCTGTTGGTCGACATCTGCCGAACTTTCGTAGTGTCGTTCNTAAAAAAGTATCACAGCTGTGGTGTCAGACAATATTGCTCATCTTGGATATATATTAAAACCAAAACATATCTCTAAAGAAACGTATATTCTTCAGTACATTTCGATAAAAAAATTAGGAAATCAATGCTTCAATCTCTAAGTCATACAAGAACTTAAAATATTTGAAACGGAATAATTATAGTTTAGAATAATCAGTCTTGCGATTTGAAGGTTCTCATATCTATTTCATCCCCATTGTACGTAATCTAGAACAAAAAATGGAGATTAGTTCAGCTCTAAAGCTAGTCTGATAACGTATGTTGGAAAATAAATGTAACATTATCTTTCAACTGACGGCAACTGGCAAAACGCATGAAAACATAGCTCCCATAAAAGTGTGTAAAATATGCAAAACTGTTGCTTTGACTGGAAGAAAGTGTGTGAGATGTGATAACATAATACACACAGGTTGTGTGAAGTACTTGAAAAATGTTACCTGAAATTTTCGAAAATTTTCCTTCAGAAAAAAATTTATTTCGTTGAATATCAAATATGTTGTGACGTTCCGCATAATTATAAATGTACTGCAGTCTCATATGATGTGAGTGATAATACAGAGGTAGATAAGCAGATTATATCGTAGAACAAAAATATATTATAATCAATGAATTGAGAGAGAAGATCCATTTTACATGCATATTGAACTCATCAGTGAAAATAATAGTCTGAAACAAAGCTGATCCCTTTCGTCATCTTCAGAAGGTCAGATACCAGCTCCTACAAAAAGTAATGAATACGAAAAAACGGAACCTGATAAAACGGAACAAAACAGTGTTTGGGTCAGTTTCGTTTCTGACATGGTGGTGGGCGGACGTGCCGATAGCGACCACTCACAAAGAAAGTACGCGGACGCCATTGTTGGAGGTGGAACTCATGTTGTGTATGTCCGCCGTTTTCTAACGTGCATGCAAAAGTTGAAAAAGTGATTATAAACATTGTTTTAGTGTATTTGAATAAATAGTGCT